GTTTTTTAACTTTCCTCTAAATAGGACAATGGGACGATAAGCATGCAGTTTACGCATTCTTTCTCTCTTTATAAATAAGAGTAAAAAAAAAAATTCTAGTATTTCACCTCTGCTGAGTTATGCCAGTGCAAAGGTTTCTGAAGTTACAGGAAGCATTAGAACTATTCAATAGTTTAGATTCAAATGAAAGCGACGTTGAAATTGCTGTGTTACCACCAGATGCCAGTGAACTAACTGACAAAGATGAAGGGGATGAGAATGAAGTAAATACTGGTGAGATTATTGTAAACAATGTTCCTGGCTCTCTGGAGGTTATAACTGGAGATAGTTTCCAGGTTGAACCGTCAACAAGATCTAGTGTTTCCACAACAAAGAGTAGAAGACACCAGTCATCTTGAATAAAAAAATAAATCACCACAATATACAAAATGGAAACACAGGATGAATCAATTGCAAGTGACTTCCTCAAGCAGAAAGAAACTGCATTGAAAGCATGAAACTCCATCAGAGATTTTTGAGCAGTTTTATTCCAGTGAAGTCTACAATCTCATTGTAAAAGAAACTGTGCGATATGCAACAGATGTAAAAAAACGAACACGATTTCTTGACCATTGCTAACAAAAGACGTGTTTTTATTGGAATTTTGCTTCTAACTGGTGATCATTCAAATACCTGCGAACGTGACTACTGCTCAGATGCTGAAGACCTTGGGCATTACCCTGGTGAAAAATGCCATTTCACGAAACCGCTTCCAAAAGTTGAATTCTTATTTACACTTTGTGGACAATGGAACTGTCAGTCAGCATGCCCAGGATCGATCCATCAAAGTAAAACCTTTGTTTGCCGTACTCAATAATAATTTTATGAAATTTGGACACTTCTCTGAAAATCTAAGCATTGATGAAATGATCTTCATGTATTACGGTAGGAACAGTCTGAAATAGTTTATTCGAGGTAAGCCTATACGTTTTGGATATAAACTTTGGGCTCTCTGTGGGAGCAAGGGACATTGTTACAAATTTTCTGTCTATTGCGGTAAAGAATCTCATGCGAGAAATGATACTCCTCTTGGTACTCGGATTGTGATGAAACTAACAGAGAATATTGTGAATCCTTCAAGCTACACTTTATATTTTGATACCTTTTTTACTAGCATTGATCTTTTGAACAGCCTTGGTGAACAGGGTTTTCGAGATACAGGAACCATATGAGCAAATCGGATAAACCACGAGTGTCCTTTAGAAGAATCTAAGTCTATGCGGAAGAAGGAAAGAGGCCCGTCTGATTTTGCATCTGAGGAGAAATCTGAAATTTTCCTGGTGCGATGGAATGATAATAATACTGTCACTGTTGCTACAAATTTCAACACTTTGAAACCATTCTTTGATGTGAAGAGGCGAGTGAGAGGAACAAAAATAAAGTTGACATGAAGATGCCAAACTTGATTAATTCTTACAACAAACAAATGGGCAGTGTGGATCACCATGACTGCTTGGCTGGACTTTATTCCATTAAAATTCATGGTATAAGTGGTACTGGCCACTTTTCATATGTTCTCTGGATATGGCTATGGGAAACGCCTGGATAATTCACAAAACTCTGAACAAAAATGAAGCTCTAAACTTCAAGGAGTTCCGAAGAGCTACAACAACAGTTTATCTCAAAAAAAAACTGTGATAAGAACAAAAGGTAGTCCTAGGATCTGCACTGTACCTTCTGATGCAAAAGAAGACATCCGTAAAGATAGTTTTGGTCATTTTTTTACAAAAGTGAGAAAAAGAGCATCATTGTCAAAGAGAGGGCTGCAAAGGAAAACCAAAAACATACTGTGGCAAATGCAACAAAACACTTTGTCAGGCTTGCTTTGGACCTTTCCACCAATATTAGTGAAATTCTTCTGAAAAGTGAACTATCTCGTAAATACGAAAGTATTAGTCAAATAAAGTAAAATTTGTACACGGAAATCACTTTTCATCATTGAAGAGAACACTAAAAACATGTAAGTGCAATTTTTATCCCCTTTATTTCAGTGTCCTATTTAGAGGACGGGCCAGATTTCTTATATAAAATATAAATTTCTTTCTAATTTGTTATATTTAGTTTGTTTAGGTTTAATTAACCTTAGAAAATGTCATTCTTTTCAAGTTTGAACAAAATAAATACATTGGGATAAAATGGGTTAAACTGATGATCTATAATCTGGAATCGCCAAAGTCCCGACGAGTCCGGATTAAAGACTTTTGACTGTATAATATTTACTATGAGAAATTGTACTAACTTGGAAACAGAAGTAGCAGCCATTTTCCAAATAGCAATGCTTTACTTAGTGATGCTATACAGCCATCTATGATCGACAGTTAAAAGTTCTAATAATATAGAATGAATAAACACAGGAATGGAATCTGTCAAGGCATTTACAGAATAAACAAATTTAACTTTTGTCTACTAGAATGGACATGATGCAACAATTAATGACTGATTCAGAAAGCCTTAATTTTAGATGTAAATTTTTGTTATGTTTCCATATATTTTTAAGACTTTTAATTCCCTGAATTTTACCTTATTTCCTAAATCTTCTGTTCATAATAGCAGATTTACTTTCTGTAATCTTCCTTACATTACTCATCTTTAGTATTAAATTTATTCTACCCAGAATAATTTTCATGCCTTTTAACCAACACGTTTAACTTACTTCTCATATTTTACCAACCAGCATAATTATTCAGATTTCCATTTCTATTTATTATATTCAGTGTTTGATGTAATTAACATTTTTATCGCTCTTTTTAACATATTCTGTACCTAAACTTATTTCATGTATTTTCTGGTCATATAAATAATCTTTACTTAACATTTTCAGCTTGTTTTGTACATTTTAACCTTCATAATATTCAATGTACCCAATTTATATTTTCACACTATATACATGACTTTTGCTTGATTTTTTAACCTTCACAATTTCTCCAGGTCTTGCAAAGATTACTTTCAGTGTGAGCTAATTATTGAATTATATTTTTTTCTAATTTTTCCACATCAGCACTAATGCTTTCAAATGTGGAGCTCCACATTTCTTTGCATTTCAAACGCACCAATATCAGTATTAAAAAGAGGAAAATTCAGTTCTGTTACATCTGCACTGAGGGTTTTTTAATAGATGCTTGCACGACTATTTCTGAAACCATCTATAGAAAAGCTTCCCTTTGAAACAGTAAATGTCAGTTACCGAATTTTCTTGGAAATTCAGCAGACTTGGAAAACAAATTAAGCTCTTTAAAAAAAAAAACTTACGGAAAAGGGATAACGTTTTTGAATAAAATGACTTTTTTCAACAAAAAGAAAAAATGTGTTTCATTTCCCCTTTAGTTCACAATTAAGATTATTTAGTTTATTAACTTCAGCCCATGAAATAATTTTTTGGATCCATTGTTTATCTGTTAGTTCAAGATAGTCAGCACCCTTCAAGAAGAAATGCTTTAATTTTGAATAACAAGGAAGTGAAATGCTATAAAACATTTTCCACTTGACAAAACCAACAAATTATTACGCAACAGAAGATCTGAGCATTCACTCTCCATTTCAACAAAAAAATCTTTAAATTCGTAATGATAAACAGCTTTAACTACAATTTTGTTGATAATCTTGATCACCAACTCCGTAACACTGCAAATTTCCTCTGGAATTATCTGCCCACAAAGTACTTCCTTGATGAATGATAAACAAATATATCATGATTAACATTTTCCTTCAAATAGCTGTTGAAATTAAAACAATTTTAACGAGTGGAATATTATATTTCTCCATTCATTTAATGACAGCATCTGCAATATTCTTGCCACATGTCTTACGTTTTTCACTGGCAATAATCCAGAAGTTTTTGTTTAAGGCCCATACAGAAATAAAACCAATAAAAAATGAAACTTGCTTTAAGTCACAAGATTCAGCAACAACTATGTTAATTCTGAAACCAATTTAAGATTTTTTGATTGGTTATACATATTATTACAAACATTTTGACTGTTTAGCAGGCAGTAGTAGTTACAGCTTGCTGGATGCATTTATAAAACAATATATACACCGTTCGTATTTCGTTTGCCTCTCTTAGCAATATCTTGACTAACAAAAAAACTTGTAATATTATAATTGTTAGAAGACTTCACCCAATAATTAAATATATAACTTGATTTTTTTCCCAACTCTTCTGGAATTCCTGAACTGCTTTCTTCCTCACATTACTGATGGAAAGAGAACTGCTAAATAAAACATGTTTAGCTATAAAGTGTCTCTCTAAATTTGATTTCTTGTTATGCAACGATTTTTCTTGATAAATACGACAGGCAAGAGGGCCGGCCACCTGAGTGTTGTATAAACTTCAACAACACTGTCCACTTAACTTTAAAGTTGCAGGTTTCATCTTAGATTTTTGTTTGCTTCTTCGCTGTAGCCACATCAAACAGGCAGCACTTTCATTGTATAACAATAACAGCAGCAACAACTAAGCCATAACAACTTAATTGATGGCAAAAATACCCGAAAAATCTGCAGTTGGTTGAATGATAAATGTAGCTTAAAGAACTACGTAGGTAAGATAAAGTCTTGCACGAGACTTTTTGAATGTCAAGTACTGACTGCTGTACTCACTGACAGACAAGCTACAACTGGCTCACTCTTGTATTAGTCCTGTGTGCTTGCTCTGCGCATACTCAGCATTCGCATATGCTGTATCAACCTGACCCCCACACAGTGGAAATTAATTTGTGGGGGAGCAGCATGTAGATTGCAAGCTGCTATTTTCTGACCACTGGGTTATTTATTTTTTAAATATGGCAAACACAAACCCTATTTGCCTAAGGAAAGAAGGAAACTGGTTTGCATTCACAGTACACAAGAAGAATATCGTGAAAACAACTCAGCTTTTGATTTTGAATTAAGAAACCAAATTTTATATAGATAATTAAGAAATATCATATATCCAGTCTAACAATTATATAAACAAACAAGGATAATTTTTTATACTTTTTTATTTTCACAGAAATTAATTTTCATACAAATTTAGAATTTTGCATTCGGTCTAATAGTAGTGAAACGTGGCTTGTGGAACTTGCGATTGATTCTTGATGGCAAGGGGAACTTGATTTTGCTATCCTGTAAAATAAGATCAAATTTAAATATTTTAAATCTAAATAAATTTTATTATTTTTTACTATATTTAATTAAAAAAATATACAGAAGTTCTAATACAATTTTAATCTAAATAAAAAATATTTTAAATCAAAATGCTAAAAAAGATTCCTCTCATACATGTAAAACTTATTTTTATCTCATTGCTTTTTTGCTAAGGGTTAAAAAAAATCTTACTATAAAATTTTAAGCTATTAAAATTCAGTTCTTTAAATCCTGCAAAAGCAAATTTATACAGAATTCATGCAGAAAAAATTGGAAAACTTTCTCTCCAAACTGATATTCTATATATATATATGAATAAGCTTAGTCTAGCATGATTGTAAGCCATGATTAACGCTCTTTGGGATACTCCAATATTTTAAAAGTTTAATACTAACGATATTTTTTGACATTTTATCTGTGAAATATGCAAAACAGCACAGCTAGATACTACACAGATAGCTTTATGAAGTAAACATATTTTTTCAATAAACAGCATAAATAATACACTCACATGAAATTGTTTCACATGGGGTCTTCTACATTTTGATGCAGGTATTTCTTCTACCTTCATAATCTGAATTGAATCTGCTCTTGCACGATGTCTTGCGCCCATGTCACGATCTTAAAAGTTAAACAGAATAAAATTTAAATTGCAAGTAAAAATATACTTAAACTGGTTAATATTTAACTACTATCCTGCCTCCAAATTTGATTTCTTTACATGTTAACACCACAGGGTGTACAAATCTGGATTCACTTCAAATAATACAAATTCATTTGAAGGCGACAGACTTCATTAATTTATGCACTATCATATTAAACAGCAATATTCTAACTGCTGCCTGCAATATCTTAAGTGCAGAAAATTTTTCAGAGGATATTTAAAAAGGTAATTTAGTTTAAAACCAAGCATCATTTTCTTAAAACTTTCATATCTAGTAAACCACAATTTGTAGGAAACTGTATTCACTTCAAATAAAACAAATTTACTTGAAGGTGACAGATTTCATTAATTGATTAATTTATGCACTATTAAATTAAACAGCAATATTGTGAAAGTTGTCGGCCATATTTAAAGTGCAATATATTTCCTACAATCTTTATGGAGTAATGCACTTTAAAAGTTTACTTTCAATGTGTTACTCGTAATTACAGTACAAAGTTCGTAATCCAGGCGTCCATTATCCGGAATGATCTATAATCCGGATCTCAAAGCCACAAATGTTTTTAATATGCTTTACGCATGCGCGTTTAATGTGCGCTTCTGATAGTGAAGAAAGTGACAGAGGTTATTGAAAAAGAAAAAAATTCGATTGGCAAGTTAGTCGGTACTCTCGACACAGCAATTACAGGACTTGAACGGTGGAACTTTGTAACTGAACAAGAAATTATGTCTGTTTATAGAAGAGAGAATTAAAGAGAAAGTATTAGCACAAAAAAACGAAGCAGCTTAAACAACTTACATTGAAAAAAATGCTTAATTAAGTAAACAAATAAATATTAAGCTTTTTTTGTAAATTTTGATACCCTTTAGATCATAATTGCTCTTTATTTCATAAATTATGGTTTCATATTTTTAATTGTATAATTTCTGCATGCCATCTTACCAGATTTAAATTGATGATCTATAATCTGGAAAAAACCTCTAATCCGGAATCTCCGAAGTCTGGATTACGGACTTTGTACTGTATATCATTTTCTTAAAATTTATATAATCATCATATTTTAAACAGGTGATTGTAGGAAACTGGTTTCACTTCAAACAGAACATATCTACTTGAAGGCGACAGATTTCATTGTTTTATGCACAATCAAATTAGGCAGCAATATAAAAAGTGCTGTCTGCAAAACTAGAAGTGCAAAATACATTAATACACACATGGGAACAAAAATAATTATCAGATTTAAAATGTTCAAATGATAAAATCATACGAAATATAACTTTAGGCATGTGTATTATGGGAGACATAAATATGAGACAGCTCTCTTGGTAACTGAGACATGCACCAACTACCGACTTTGAGTGTTGACAAAGAAACGAAAACCTTGCTGAATAATCAGACATTCGACCCAAAATTTGCATTCGAATGATGTATGGCTCCTTGAGCAGAAGATCCCCGCAAAGCTCCGAGTGCTGCAAGTGTGGTAAGATGCTCAGATCTTTTGTTGTTTTCATGAACAGCAAACAATAAACTTTAATTTAGTAAGAATACCACATGCAAGAAAGATTGCATCTTCTGAAGTCAGCCATGATTATTCATACACAACATTAAACTGAGTTCCATTATTCCATGAATCAGAATTTTATTATATTACTAGCAGCTTCGCTGATGTACCGGAAAAATGGCTGAAGGGAACACCAAACGTTAAATTAAAAAACTGCATAGAATTTTAATCTGCAGAAAAATTTAATAAAAAAAGTTATTGCATATAACAAAATTTCAATGAAATAAGCAATATCCCTTAATACAAATATTAATTATCCTAATAAATAAATTAACCAACTTCCCTTTGCAAAATCTTAAGAACTTAAATGGTATAAAGGAGATTAAGAACTTTGTTTCCTAAAAAAAAATCACTCAAAACTTTTCAATATCTTAAAAACAGCGAATGAGCAATAAATAACATAAAATACAAAAAATTCTGAAAAGCAAAGTATAATTAATGATATTTTATGTTATATTTTCAAGAGGAAAAAATTAGGGGCTACTTTGGTAGAAGGTTGCACAGATTTTTGGCGATTTACATTGGCGCGGTTTTTACAGTCATCAGCCATCTTGAAAAATGCTGTTTTTACGTATTTTACGCATATAGTAAAGTATTTGAAACTTTAAAAAAATAAACATCGTTAAAAATAATGGATTATTTTTTGTTGAAAATGTTTTTTAAGATGGCTGGAAAATGTAAATAAATAAATTAACTAAGAGTATAAAATGCTAAAGTTAGGTTAAATTATTACTTTCATATATAGAATAAAAACACCGCTATAAAAACATTGTGCCAACATTTAATTGGATTAAAATATTACTTAAATTGAATATCGAATTAAAAACATACCAATGTTTAAAAGAATTAAAATATTACTTAAATACGTTTTATAGGAATTATTTAACATTAAAACATACATATGCAATAAATATCTCAGGAATTTTTGAGAAAATTGTATTAATTTTTTAATAAAAGTTGAAGTATACAATTATAAAGTGAAAGAAAATTATTACTTACATTTTTTAAAGTATTTTACCTGTTGTATATTGATAAGTACCACAAAAAAAAAAAAAAAAAAAAAAAAAGGGGGGGGGTATTCTAATGATTTTCACCTGTGATCCACATATCTCTCACTCCATTGAAGAAGCAATTAGTGAGGTTTTCTCCAAAAATTTAAAATAAATTTCCTCTGACGCTATTAATAATTTATAAATAAATCTTTGATTAGAAAAGCCAGGTTGGCCAAAATAAGGTCTCAAAGGTCAACTTTTTTATTCCGATACCACTAATTCTTGGTAATTACCAATAACAACATTCATCTTCGAAACGGACATATCCATTCCATTTGAAATCTGAGGAATTCGAAGAGATGAATAATAAAATGCGGTAATGCACAAATATTCAGTAACCAATCAGGGAGCTGATTACATCACACATAGAATTAAAATTATTTAAATAATCATTCATAATAAAATCATTTTTAAAATAAATGCAAAATTAAATTGTATTTTAATACTTAACAGCCATAAATGTTTAAAATATTAGATTAAATTTATACATATTAATAAAACCAATGACTTTGTAAGTAAGGTGACGTTCATTTTATTTATCAAGTCGTATCGCCAGGCAAAACAAAATCACCAAAATCCGTGCAGCCGTCTACCAAAGTAGCACCTAATCCGGAATCGGCGAAGTCCGGATTAAAGACTTTTGACTGTATATGTAACGAAAAATCGGCAAAATCCTCACAACTGTCTACCCCCCCAAAAAAAGACAATAATAATAATAATAATAATAATAATAATAAAATGAAACATGCCAATGTATTAAAAACAGTGACGTAAGAAATACGATGAAAAATTGTTGCGCCAAACCCATATTTCTAAAAGAATGAAACTATTCAAAATACTGCGATTTCATTAAAAATCTATCAACAACAATAAGAAAGGAAAATTGTTGCCAAAATCACATTTTTAAAGACGTGAGATGTGAAAAGTGTACTCGGAAGCTTCATTAAAAATTCTTTTAAAAAATACAAAGTATTATCATTTTTCCAAAATTCTTTTTGTAAAAGCAGTCGCAAGGCTGAAAGTTTAACGGGGTTGTTTATAGCCACATTTTAGTTAAAAAAATAAGCACCTATAAGCACTTTTCAAGCACATTTTAAGAAAAAAAAATAAGCACCTGCCTAATTACATCATACACAACTGCATAACCTTAAAAATTAGACTTGTAATTTAAAATATGAGAAATGAAGTACTTATTAAGAGAGAATAAGCATTACCTCAACCATGGAAAATAATTACTTTTTTTTTTTAAATTTTAAATAATAGTTCAATTTACAGAACTAGTTTACAATGAGAGAGAAAAAAAAAAAAAAACTATGAAGAACTAAACTATATTACAAGATTTAATGATGAAATTTCAGTTCAAAATAGAGAAAATAAATAATAATAAGGCATATATTTATTGTATTTGCTTGGAACCTAATAATAAATACAATTTATTTTTCCACTCATATTGATATTTAAATAATTTAAATCTAAATTCTGAACATTTTCTAAATTTTCATTGTATATCAGTTTTCTCTTAACAGATATTGCAAGCAAAGTAATTTAAGTAAAAAAGGAACATTTCTGAAATCAGAAGACAGAAATTTGCTTCATGCAGTCATCTTTAACAGTAAAAGCTTAACTAACCCGCATACTTGGAAATTGGCGAATATTCCCATTTGGACAGTCGAGCGTAACTTGAAGGAGCGGAGGGGGGGGGGACTGTAGCCACTCTTTAGATTTTTCTGCTAAATAAATGCTTTTGACATTTCAATATGTGCATCATATAAAAATAAACCAACGGAACTAAAAATATTCTGCTTAGCAAGCACAGTAAAACTCTTTTAAGTGTTCATAAACAAATCTCGGACTGAACATCAAAATTAATTATCTCTGCAAAATATCGCAAACGTTATTGCGCAATACGTGCGCCATAATTCTTCCCTACGTGATATTACGCAATCGGAATCAACAACTGCCGTATTGGGAGAAAAAAGAACTAAATAACTGGGGTGTTTTTCATTCTAATTTTCAACAGACGGCGTTAAATTTCCGGAATAGAATCATTCTTCGCTTGGGTTGGTAGACCGCAGGAAAGTGACCCCCCCCCGAAAAAAAGGTCCGTTGCTTGTTTTGCAGCGAACTGTAACAGTTTCAATATTCAAGATTTTGCGGAGAAAGGGGAGACCTCCCAACCTTCGTACTGTATAATGTATTGGCCAAAAAAAATGAAATTATTTTGACTATTCGATTACTTTCCCTTTATTTAAGCCATTCCGAATATTATTCCTTAGAAAGCTAATCTGTGTTAAAACACAACCATTTTTGGAAGTTTACTATACTTCAGCAGTTACTGCAACTATGTTATTATAAACATTCATACATATGCTCATAATATAAGCATAACGATCATAATAAACACGAATATGAACTGACCAAGCGGAACGAGAATGCAAATTATTAAGATCTTGATAGAAATTCAAACGTGTGTAGTATTTGGGTGGGAGGAAAAGAATGCCGAATGTAGCGGAATTTTCTACTGCTTTCGCAATTCTTTGACCAATAGAACGACGGGCACCTGTCTGTACTCTTCGTGCACACCAAAGGTTATGTTAATGCAGAGAAAGGGGGAAAAGCTATTTCCGGGAGTACGACTCACCATCTGACATTCCATATTAGGAAGAAAAGCTGTTTATTTAGTTTCGGCTTTGGTATGGGGAAAAATAGCCCGTTTATTAAAAAAAAAAAAAAAGCACTAAAAGCAAAAAATAAGGGCTTTAAAGAAAAAGTAAGCACCTATAAGGGCCTTTATATTTTATTTTCAAATATAAGAACTTATAACGACCGCTACGAACCCTGTTTAACGTGTCCAAAAATCAAAGAAAAATAAACTGTACATTTTTAAACATAAATTTTTTTAGAAAAAGTCCCGCTGAAAAGGTGCTAAGCTCCCTTTAATAAATAAATTCGTATTTAATCGATTTATTGAAACACGAAATTTATTTTAAGTTCGCAAAATAGCCCAAGTGCCTACGTTTCATGACGATGTGAAAATGAAGTACGTAGAGTAAATCTCGCTTTTCTATAGCCCATTATGTCTCAAAATGACGCGATTTAGTCACAAAACATAAAATAATAAAAAAAATTCGAATTTCAAAAAAAAAATTGCTTCGAGGTGCACTGGCTCTTTTCTAGGTGCACATATGTACCAAATTTCGTAGCCGTGGGTCTATTAGCTTATGCGCAACACGAATGAAAGACACACACAGACAGACTCTGTTTTATTATATGTAGAGATAATCAGCACCACTGAATAGTGTATGCCTGAATTCAGGAAACCTCAAAAAATTAATTTTATAAAGTATACTCCTTTGAAAGATATGTTTACTCCATGCCCCGTAGACAGAAATAGTATACTTCAATTTGCAACGAAATTCATTTAAATGGGGAAAAAATCTATTAAAAAATTGAAATTTATTGCATATTTTAAAAATTAAAAGCTTAACAAAGATTCACAAAACCAAAACGCACATATACAGAACTATTACATTAACACTTTTTTACTTTATTTATTTAGCATCTTAAACTTTATTACCCCAGATTAAGCTTATGAAATTATTTCTAATATACTTCGTTATCTACTTAAAAAGGCAATTAAATATTAAAATCAACCTGTATTTTAAGACAAAATAAATTCAAAATTTAAAAGTATAAAAATTATCAAAGATAAATTATAATAAGGTATTAATAAATTTACATTTGAAACACTAGTTCAAATTCAAAGCGCATCAAATAATTACTTTAAATTAGCATATCAGACAAGATGTGAGCTACCTTTACATTTATCAGTTGATTTTAAAACAGTTTGTAGCCAAACTATTTCTTCTGCAAGATTCAGATAGTCAAGATTGTCTAAAAATACTTACAGCACTGTGTTACAGCAGATGCCACAGTCATATCTCTATATTCTCTGTACATATTATGAGTACCTGTACGTGAATTGTATCTTAACCATATACCAAAGTTCTTTACCTTTGTTGGTGTCTTATCATAAATCTAAATGGGGGAAAAAAAACATTTATTATACACTGCAGTACATTAGACTTCACTAACATAGAACATATCAATTATCTTTTCGAGTCATTTTGATAAAAAAAAAAAGACTTGTAAAAAGATAATTTTTTGAAATACTATAATAGGAGCCCAAACACTTTACTTAAGGTCAGTTTACACCTGTCAGAGCGGCTCGGAGCGAGTCTCTCCTTACGATTACTTTGACAATGTAAACGCTCACTTCGACGGAGTACGAACGTAGGGGAGATGAGTCAGCGCTTCCGTTTCTACTTTGAACCTGTTGAAAAATCTCTCCGGGCAGTTACTCCGAGCAGCGTTCGCTGGGACGTCGTGACAGTGAGTTCTATAATCAGAGATTAAGCGATAGCCAAACCATGGCATTTTTTAATGCATATGCATCTTATGAAGTGTTTTACTTCTATAATTATGTGAGCTTATATTCATTTTTCTACAAGCATCCCTACATGAGGATGCAGTAAATATATGATAAACTATAAAAATAAAAAAAAATTATGAAAAAGATATGTAGATCTCTTTTATTGGGGATATTTAAATTTCTTGCTTTGTATAAAAACATTCTGAGCTATAATTCGTTACAATTCAGCTTGGATGTGAAACTTCCAGTTCATGTTCAGCACGTGTGAGTGCAAGTACTGAAGGTGTATTAAGGTTTATACAAATTATGCTAGATGAATTATAATCTTCTTAAACTATCCGTTTTAGCATTTTAAAACTAAAGTATAATCACTATATTTACCCATTATTAATTTTGTTGATATCACTTTGTGCGTTGTCCAGAAACACAATTTCAGTAGGATCCAAAAGTAACAATTTGCGATAAATATCTTCCTCTTGGAACTATGTCATAATGTATATATTCTTTTACCTGTGGTAATATATGTAATGCTCCCAAGTTTTTTGCTACTTCTTATTTATTTAAGATTTTCTGAATAATTAGGTAGATATACAGTTTACTTCTGTCGTGTTAATGGTAGCTTTGAATAAATATTCCATGTGTTAATTTTGCATTCTTCTCTAGAAATAACACAGTTCCAGTCAGAACTCTGCATAATTAATTCATGCTCAGAGAGCTACTGATTCTGTGGATTCTGGATGAATAAATATATTCTTTCTATTAATAAATAATAAAACACATTATTACTTTTACATTATTTTGTAAATGATTAATTAGGTGTAAATAAACAGTTATATATAGTATATAGTAGAAAAACTTTAACTTGAATTTCAGTTTTAAACCACAGTTGACTAAATAACTTCCCTCTCAAACTGAGTTTCTTTTAAATTCTTGTATCTGATATGCAATAACGTTTTTGTAACTTTGGACATTCTCGTCCGAAATTAATTTAATAGTTCTTTTGATACTCCTAATTCATTGCGGCAAGCTACCCAATCACGTACCCATTTTTTCTTTTTCTTCTTTTTTTTTTTCCTCCCAAGAGCAGAAATTAATTCGTTTGAAACTGCTTCGCAGACTTCAAGCACCACAGCCTAAGAACATCTATGTATGTTCAATGCATATTCTTTCCTGCAGCTGCGACGTCCGTATCCATTTCGTAAACAAACGGAGGCGAGTTGTCAGTCCACTCTGATTGGTGTTAACAATCTATCAGAGTACAGGTCTGTTCACTCGGTTCAAAACGCCCGGACGAGCGGCTCGCTACGAGCAGCTTTGACAGATGTAAACTGGCCTTTAGCTTTCACCATAATTTATCGGGGGGGGGGGGGGGGGGTCAAAATCAATTCTTTTGCATAATGGTATTGTAGCAATAGAACAATAATTATGCAATTGCATATTGATGGCACTGCTATATTATCTACATTAAATGACAGTAAAAAAGGAGGCTGTCTTTAGATATGAATGATTTAGTTTTGTTAAAATTCACTAATTTTCATCTGAAGAGTTGAAGAATTTTAGCATTCCTCTCTAAAAAATACCAAACACCACAGAAAAATTTACAAAAACAAAAGCTTTTGCATTATTACTTTTATAAAAAGAATTTAAGATTTTTATACCGAATAATCTCTGGAAATAAGTATTTTTTATTCTTTCTAAATCAAAACATATTCTATAAAGAATTGGTGTAAATTATGAAGAAAAATTCTAGGAAATGGAGGTACTTCAATGATATCGATAAAAACTGACCATTGATACAAGTTTCCTTTCTGCCTTGACAAAAGATATTTGACCACACGATGAATTTTCTGATTTTATTTTAATGCACGTTTAATGTGTCCATCTGTCTTTTCCTCATAAAAACTAGTGTGGGTCCCCCCTACCTTTATCACATCTTGACCCTGCCAATGAGCTTATAATCTGTTGCTTGAATCAGTATGTGGATTACTACGACCCTATATCAGACTTCAAAGTCCAGACATAAAAGAACTGATCATGATCTGGTCATAATGGTCATGATCACAAGTACAGTAAAAGCCCGACTATCTGGTATTCAGAAACAGAAATATATAATGTGAAACAATTAAATAACAAAAAGTTGATTCTTTCTCAAATAGCAGCCAAGCGATTTGTCAACAGAGCCAGCTGTTTCTTGGCTACTCCTTTGTACAGAAGACAGATCAGGAAATTTTTTGCAATGTCTTTTTGTATTATTTACTTCTACAGTCAAAAGTCTTTAATCCGGACTTGCCGGGACTTCGGCGATTCCGGATTATAAATCATCAGTTTAAATCTGGTAAGATGGCATGCAGAAATTATAAAATTAAAAATATGAAACCGTAACTTATGAAATAAAGAGCAATTATGATCTAAAGGATATCAAATTTTAAAAAAAAGCTCAATATTTATTTGTTTACTTTATTAAACATTTCTTTCAACGCGCGCCTGCGTAAAGCAAACATTACGCATAGTCGAAATTAGAGAATTGCAACCAGAAAACTATTTGATGTGTATTTGATATTTATAATGATGAGGAATTTGATTTAAATCATACCAAAGACGGAGTACACCGAGAATAAAAACATCTGCCTTGAAGAAAGTGCCAACAGATCAACTTCCAGTTCATTGCATGCCGCGATGTCCCCTCCGCAGAGCAGCGTGAAATTGATAAACAGATTTTGGAATGGTTAGAGAAACAAAGGACATGCCTTTATCCATTTTTTGCAGCAGTTCTACTTTTTGTTTGATGGACATCGGAACATGCTTTCGCTTTGTAGATCCTTTGGCAGCTCCAGAATCGGAAATTCTTTTTGACATAATAGAAAGTTCAAGCTTACTTTTATAAAATTGCTCTAACAGTATGCAAAAAATAATAAGCCGGATCCAATTCGAAAAATAAGGAACAACGCAATCTGCAACATTAACTAAAATAGGTAATTTTAGCTGAGCTTATACCGTCCGTTATACATTAAACGCGCATGCGTAAATGTAGCTTTGGGGTCCGGATTAAAGACTTTTGACTGTATTTCAAAGCTGACTTACAATTTTGTCCTTGATATTGTTTCAGATTTGCCCTTTTCTCATATTATTAGACAACTTATTACTTTTGATAGATTTTAATACTCTCTTATAATTTTCTACATTATTCATATTCATTTTGCAATGTTTTCTGTAATATTAATAGTTTAATTCTTTTCAATTACTTATATATCTCTACATACATTGCTCGACATTGAAAATGCAACACCAAGGAGTGGTCAGAAAGTGATGAAATTTGGAAAAAAGAGACAGCACGCAGCAATAAGTGATCTTTATTTCAAAATGATAGAATACAGAGCGCGGACAACGTTGGCTCAGTAGGATGTAGGACCACTTCGGGCAGCGATGCAGGAAGAAACACGTCCAGGCATAGAGTCAACAAGAGTGTGGATGGTGTCCTGAGGGATGACTCTCCATTCCCTTTCAACTATTTGCAACAGTTCGTCTTCTGAACGAGGAAGGGCAGTCTGCAAACGGCGTCAAATCACATCCCACACATGTTCGATTGGTGACAGGTCAGGAGAGTATGGTGGCCAGGGTAGCATCTGTATACCTTGCAGAGCATGTCAGCAGATGTGAGCACTGTGTGGTCGGGCGTATCCTGCTGAAAAATTGCATTAGGCATCCTCTGAAGGTAGGTAATTGCCATCGGCCATAGTACATTATCCAAGTATCGTTGGGCCGTCTTAGTGGCCTGAATACGAACTAGAGGTGACATGGAATCGTAGGCAACAGTGCCCTAAACCATTAATGCCACGTTGTCGCACGGTGGGGTGTTCCACAGTTACTGCCTGATTAGATCTGTCTCCACGTCGACACCACACACGGATGCGGCAACTGTCACTGGATAAACAGAAGCGTGACTCATTTAAGAACACGACGTTTTGCCATTTTGTCATCCACATCGCTCCAGTCCGGAACCATTCTAAACATTGGCGTCTATGCTGTGGGGTCAATGGCAGTCTTCTTAACGGACGCCGTGAGTGCAGGCCACGTTCAACCATTCGACGAGAAAATGGTTCTGGTCGACACAGGAATATCCAGGGTATCTTGCACATGCTGCAGAATTGTGGTACAAGTGACTTGTGCGATTGCCACAGCTTGCCGACAGGCATGCTGACGTCACTCTGGCTGCACCTGCACCCCTCCTTCTTCCCACATTTCCTTGTTCCAACTATGTTCGCCATAGCCAATGCACCTTGCTCGCATCCATGTGGGTATCAGCTGTGATTTGATGTAAGGGCTAACCTACCCTTCTCAGTCCGATCACCATACCCATCATAAAATCGTCTATCTGCTGGAAGTGCTTTTGGTGATGCCGACCTGGCATTCTCTCCTATTACATGTATCCTCCGGGACAAAGACCAACTTTCTTTGATAATTTGTCTGGCAGAAATAATGATACGAATATTGCCCATTCTGCACATTCCTTCCTTTATATCTTATTTCACGTGCATCAGAAAGCTGCGCATTTCACATCATTCGCATAACTCAGTGACGTGCGTCTACTCTAAAATCTGCATACATT